TGCTGTACATGGAGAGAATAGTGAGGCACAGACAAGACGATGAGTATATCGGTGTATGAGATATGAAGACAAGGAGGCTGCTGTTTGCAGACGACCTTGTCTTATTGACATCTTCTGAAACTGATCTACAGTGCTCCCTGGAAAGGTTAGCAGCCGAGTGCGACCTGTCTGGCATGGGTGTGAATGCATCTAAGGCGAAAAGCCTAGAGCTTTCTTGTTCCCTTGCCCCTGCTCTCTTCAGTCTAACGGAGAGGCAGTGGAGCAGGTGGACAAGTTTAAGTACCTCAAAGTCGAGTTCACTAATGATGGAAAATTTCAGGATGAGATAGACCGACGATTTGGAGTAGCCAGTCACGATCTGCGTGAATTAGCCCGATCCACTGTGACTAAAGCAGAGCTGAGTCTGAATACTAAGCTCTCGGTGTTCAAGTCGATCTTTTTCCGCATGCTTACATACGATCATGAGTCGTGGACCATGACAGAGCCTCGATCCCAGGTAGAAGCGGCTGAAATGTGCTTTGTGAGATGAGTCACTGAGGTAACGCGTCTCGACATGTTCTGGTGTACAGAAAAAGTCCGCCAGTGCCTTGGTGTACAGGTGCTGCTTCTTCCGACTGAGAAGTCACAGCTGCGATGGTTTGGGCATGTGTTGCGAATGACTCCAAAAAGGAAGACGAAGCAATTACTACTTGCCCAATGGACCGGCAGAAGACCCAGGGTCGGCAAAAATTAACCTAGTGTAAATCTACAGGAGTCTGCTCCAGACTCCAGTTGTCTTCTGCAGACATGGAGACTCTGGCTGGGGATCGGGAACGTTGGAAGCAATGTCTGAAGTGTCGTCCTGGGCGACATGAAAGGAGAAGCGGTAATGGAAGATAACGGTGATGATGATTATTTTAGTCTTTAGACTTAGCTCTGTTTTGGTCGCAACGACTTGGGCTGGTACATGCAGAACGCCACTGGCTACTCCAATTCGCCTGTCGATCTCTTCCTCCAACTTTCCATCACTAGTAAATAC